GCAGCGGCCGGCGGCCTAGAGTGAGCAGCGGCCGGCGGCTAGAGTGAGCAGAGGCCGGCGGCTAGAGTGAGCAGAGGCCGGCGGCTAGAGTGAGCAGAGGCCGGAGGCTAGAGTGAGCAGAGGCCGGAGGCCTAGAGTGAGCAGATGCCGGAGGCTAGAGTGAGCAGCGGCCTGCGGCCTAGAGAGAGCAGATACCGGCATCATGTTTTATTACATTTTGGCAGAAATTAAACTATTTTTATTCCAAGTTATTTTAAAATGTTTGCTGCCATGTTAAAAAATACACTACTATAAAATTGCGATTTTGGGAGAGAAAAAAAAGGTAAGTCACACATACGTTGCATTTTGTATTTAGAAATCATTTTTAACACTATAAACAGCTATAGGTCATATTTTCCCTCACTACTCAAATTTTATCTAAAGTTAACAATATTCAGGCTATATAAATGTCAAGCCAAAGTGAATTAATTGAAAGTGAAACTGAAGCCCCCTCTCATTTGGCACGAATCCAAATGTTTCCATAGTCGCCACATAATGGATACTTACTTCACTCGTATTTTCAGTCTAAAGCATCATTCACACATAACAGCACAGTGAGGCTGTGGTCTTGCTGAATGGTACAGATTTTAATGTAATTGACATTTATATATTTCAGAGATTTTAATAAAAAAAACTACAGCTAGCCAATTTAATAATTTCATAATAATAATATATAATATAATAATAATTAGGGCTGCACGATATATCGAAATTATCGAAATATCGCAAATGTAAATATCGCAATATGCATATCGCAAGGGCGTGCGATATTTGAATCATTTTAATAATAGGCTACTTAAATCAAAACGTTGCAAAAGGTCAAAGTTTTAGTTCGATGCATCTAGCAGAGAATTGCTTGACGTTAAAAAGAGTTAAGTGCAATAAGTTGCAGAAAACAACTCTTTGCCGTCTCGTCTTGCTGTCTGACAGACTCACACCTGAAGCACACACACAGAGAGACGAGTTTCAGATGGTGCGCGAACACCGAGTTGATTCGTCTTTCGCGTCTCCTCCTCATGTTCGAACAGACACATACACACAGAATTATGTCAATAGTACCCGTCTCGACGATCATTTTCGTAAACGCAGTCAGTTATGTTTTAAATGAATGTAAACAGCTGAGAAAGAAATCGGATGTTTATCATTATACTGGATCCATGCAGTTGGTTTTAAAGGGACAGCAGCCTATAAATACGTGCTGCTGAATATGTCACTAATGTTAACAAAACAACAAAACAGCTATAACAAAGATTAGTGACATATTCAGCAGCACATATTTATAGGCTGCTGTCCCTTTAAATCCGACTGCACGGATCCAGTATAATGATACACATCCGATTTCTTTCTCAGCCGTTTACATTCATTTAAAACATAACTGACTGCGTTTACAAGAATGATCGTTGAGACGGGTACTATTGACATAATTCTGTGTGTATGTGTGTGTTCAAACATGAGGAGGAGATGCGAAAGACGAATCAACTCGTTCGCGTGCCCTCTGAAACGCGTGTGTGTGTGTACGCTTGCTTTGCACCTGTGTGGCAGAACTGAAGAGACGCTGCGGCTTGTGCGCGCGCC